GGGTAGCTATATGAACACAGACAGAAGTCAGTCTTAAGTCATAGTTCTTTCATAATGGAAATCTTTTTTTCCAACACTCACACAATTATTTTCTCCAAACTACTCCAATATGGGTTTCACACATGTTATTTAAACAAAGCAATTGCCAACTATAGCTTAAAGCAAAACAGCAGCGATAAGAAATAAACAAACAAAAATCAATGCTTTGCAAGGTAATCTGACATATTCTACTTTATTCAAATTAAAGCATTGCACGAATCACAATATACTGTGTTTTACACCCTTCAAGTATCTTGAACAAATGGTCTTCTGACAGGCAAGGCAGATTCTACTCATCAGTACATTAGACAAAGGTAAACTGGTTAATTTACAAGCTAAAGATAAATATCTTCATAGTGCATAGAAGATTTTCTATCAAAGATATATTTTAACCTCTTGCAGAAACAGGTCAGTTATCAACATGACAAAGAAATGTAGAAACATACCTTTTTTTTTTTTTAGATCATGTTACTTTTTCCTCACCACTGTCCAAGGCTCCAAGAAATATGGACTCACATATCTGCTTTTGACTCACACCTTACACAGCACTGCCATTAGAAGGAATATCATGTTCCCATTCATAAGAGGCTTAAATTCTGATAGCTTTACAACAGCGAAAAGCAAAATTTCAAAACAGTCTAAAAATACTAAACAATAAACTAACGTCTTTGCTTCAGAAGTAAAGAAAACCTCTTCTGTCAACTGTACAGTAATTCACAGACATTGTGACAGTGAAAACATACGAGTGGTGTATTCAAATTCTGACCTAACTTTATAAAAAAGCTAAAGAAATTAGGGGCAAGGCTTCCTAATTGCTACTATTGCTTTCATGGAAAAAGCTTAATATTGCACTGCCCAGTGTAATAAGACTGATTGCAAATCCTATACCTGAACGTATAGCTTTTTTCCTTCACAAAAAGGAAGAACTACAACAATTGCATTGAGGCCATTACTGATTTTTGGCTGACTGCTCTGTCCTTCAATTTATCTTGGTTCCTAAATTACAATTACAGCACATTTACAATTAATATATGTCTTAGATGGAGTCAAGTTTGGTTTTCAGTAAAGTAGCAACTTTCAAATTAATTAGATTACACACTGAAGGTCTGCATTTTTATAGACATTCCTCCATGACAATTTCTCCTTTCCTAATTTTAAGGAAAATTTGGTTCAGAGAGGTAACCATAGCAGTTCAACTATGAGCACTGCTTCTCCTCTTATTTCTCCAATCATTAGCTGAAATTCTGTCAGACTTTGATACAAGGCATAAACGTAAGGCCCCTCTGTCATGACATGGCCCAACTTTTATTTGCCAGTCAGTATGTTTACTGATACATACACATGTAAAAATACTTACGGTTGCACTTGATCTTATTTTAAAAACAGTCTTTACGTATGCAAAACACACATTAAAGAAACCACCACACTGATTTAAAGGGGGTTTTTGTGTTTTCTCCAAACAAGAGCTGGTATCTTAGAATTCATAGCAAAGTTTTACAGCGCAGTTCAAGCATTTCTGAAGCACTGTTTCAGAACTTCAGTGTTATTCAGGATCCGGATAACCTTGATTCCTTCTTTCCTATTCACGTCCAAAACAAACACAGGAACTTGCATATGCACAACACATAACCCTCCACAAAAGCTCCCTGCCATTAGTTCTTGTACTTGGGCTCAAATCTCTACCACATATCTGCAGTTAAGCCTGACTCTGCTTGTACACAGTAGCGAAATTTGCCCCTTTGATCTGGTTTAGAAGCGTTATTAGAAAACAGAAATAAAAGAAGATCCAGCAAGAGAGGTAAATCAGTTGTAACATCTCCTGCCAAACATCCTATAGATATCTAGCTGTATTAACATTAAAAAACCACATTTCTATATTTTCAAGTATTTAATTTGTATACTCATGCCCCAGATGCAAGATAAGCAGTGTTGCAGATGCTTTTTAAGGTAGTTAACAATCAGAGCTCTCAGCAGTTTTTCAAAACTCGTAATTCCAGAATGGTTTTCCGCAACAAATACAGCTTTTGGCATAAATCAAGTTTGGTTCTAGTTCTCTCACAGGATAAAAGACAGACTGCACTACAAAGAGTAACTTATGTTCCCTATTCCCTTTGGCTTCTTTCCCCAGTTCCTCAGTTTGAGAGAGCTGGATTACATACCTGTTGCTGATGAGTCACATTCTGGGAATACCAGAATACTCTTAGTTTAATGCATTTATTTCAGTTTTCTGTAAAGTCTACTATTCAGTAAAGAAATAAAATTGTCAACACACTTAAGACTTCCTAAACCCTAACTATGTGTCCATACTAGTATACAACTTGGAAATTGAGAAGTACTAACTGGAAAATCAAAAGAAAACCAGTGTTTAGCCACATAAAGCATAATTTGAAGACTATTCATTTACATAAAGATATGTTAAAACAAATATCTTAAAAAGATAGCACAGCATTAAAAATAAGCCGTTCAACTCACCGTCCAAATTCAGTAACTGCAGACTACACCAGAGAGAAAGATATTTACAGATTTTACCATTCAATGTGTAAAAAGGTAGAGAATCTCCTCACACCTCCTGCAATAAACTGTTTTGAAGGTGCATGGGAACCGTATGTCGTAACTGTGTAGCCCATATACAGTAACCCAAAACTGATGCCTCTGGTTTTATAACTGCATTAAGTCTCAGTATTCAAATAAACAGTCATACTTTCATGTTTAACACTTTGAATTCACATTCATGCTTTAAGGGTGCTTAGTACATTAACAATATGCAACATCTTATAGAAAGTACTTAGTATTTTACAGTATGAAGGACTAATGGTGTTTTCGCAGATTTGAGCAAAGTGCTGAGCAAATTTTTCTTTCTGAAAAATTTCTACTAAGCAAGTGGTCAGGAATGAACCAGTATCTGCTTGGCAAATCTGACTATTTAAAGGCAGAAAACCATTTTTTTGAATGCAAGCTCTGGAAAGTAATTTATATCCCTATTTTCCATTCCCTTTTATTGTAACACATTTTGCTGCCAAAATAATCCATGCAAGAATGCATGACTGAAGGAATCTGCTCAGAGTTCAATAGTGTACTGTCAACTCCCTTAGTCTGATATATGACTCTTAATTGAGGGAATTGCCATAATTTATTTTTTTTTATAAACAGATTTTTAGGAGTAGCTCCAAAGAAAGAGATAATGAAGAATAGCTGATAAAAATCTCCAATGTTCTGTGACTAGTTCAATTAAAGCTAGCAGTCATCATCAGAGAGACAAAGCCTTTGCATTTTGCAAACCAAATATAGTTAAAATTCTTTACCTTCTATTGACTTGGCAGTGACATCTGAAAGCGGATAGATAAAACTGACAAACTCCATTCACACAACAATAACAGATATATGATATCTGATGTGTTTAAGTAAACACTAAGGCTATGACAGTAGTTAGATTCTCCCTTTGCTAGAAGGAGCAAGATAAAAAAAAGTCACACTGTTGCACAGAATTGCACTTTTCCAAAATACCTGCACACTAAAAAAAATACTTGGAGAATCTACAAGAATGCATACTGGAACAACCACAGTAAACAAACACTTAGAGATTAATGGATTTACATCTATTTATTTATTATTATCCAAACAGAAAAAAAAAAAAAACTTACAGAAATCCTACACTAATGTATGCTCTGTACAGTAATAAATGTTTGCAGGATTGAGTCCTAAATTTATTTGCTCATTATTTAAGCAAAGTTATTAGCAGTTGCCATTGCTTGACAATGAAAACATAACATTTCAAAAAATTATAGTTATTAGACAATAATTATTTTCATGATTACTCTTATTTTGGTTACCTAAGCCTAAGGTTTTCCTCCTGTATTTGAATCCCGTATGCGAAACACCATTATATAGCAGACCACATAACAGAGCAAAAGCATCTTTTTCAGAACAATGGTAGCAACACTAAACTTTTATTACAAGTTTTCTCTCTTCTGCCCTCCACAAGCGCACATGCTATCACAGTTTAATGACTACAAAATGAACTAAACCTTTTGAGGCTGTAGTGGGAAGTGTCAGTTTACACGGGATCGAGAGCATTCAACTATTGCAGTCAAATCCACCTGTGTTCAACAAAACTATAAAACCATTACATTGGTTCGTATGATGGTAATCTATGTAGATTTCTGTAAACAACATTTCACAGCACAGCATTTCAGAAGTAAATCACTCAATATAGGAGATGTGTGAATAACCACTAAATGTGTGGGATAAGAATAAATTTCAGTTGCAAGAGGATCCTTCAAAATATCAAGTAAGGAATTTTTTGGGAAAAAGGTAGGTTACACAGATATATACATATTCAACTAGTGCAAACCACATTTCCTCATGAGGTCAGTACTCGATCTAAATGACTATAGGCTTGCTCCAAGACAGTGTCTGCAAAAATGTTTGTGGTATTTAAGCAAGCAATACAAATAGTTGGTCACTGGTATACTTATCACATTTTGTTCTTTAGGTTCTTTCCATGGCACTAATCCATCAGAAAAAAATACATGCACACAAACAACGCTCTCTTTCATATCCTTAGCTAAAGGTTGTCTCAAGTCTTGCAGTAATTCTTAACCATGTCGCTTAGGCAGAAAATTTTTTTTGCTGCTTTGTGGGGGTTTTTTAAACAGCATTTTCAGCATTGTCAGGTTTAAAAAAAACAACAAACAAAACAGTCGCTTTGTTTATCGCTCTAAGCTTCCATTCACTGCCACTTCCCACATGTCCTCCCCTCAGGCATCCCCTAGCTCTGTAAGGTAAGTTTTGCAACTGTTTTGGAGCAACCCAAGTCCCCATCAAGACCAGAAGGTGAAGAAACATGGGGAACACAGGGTAGCTGCTCCAGTAAATAAACTGATTGCCCCAAATGCTAAGGATTCACCGCATCATCTAGCACCAGAGACAAAAATCACACCTTCCCTCCACAGTTTGCTTACCTCCCGCAATTCAAGCCTCTGGGCCACTGCTTCCAGACTTTCCTGGCCCGTGCTTTCCACCGACAGCGTGAACTCCACAAATTCATTGTTGAGCAGCTGGATACGAGCCACCAAGCAACTCTTGCTGGATACTGTGTAACGTCGAGTTCGTTTCAATTTTAACCCAAAAGGTAGAGGCATCTTCTTTTTCCCCCCACAGATGGTTACTGATAATAAGCTATTACCACCGGGACCTTGAGAGGGGACAAGTAGTTATCTGCTCTCAAAAGGTGAGGAGCTGTAAAGTCTCCAGAGATCAACCAGCAGCAGCAGTATCCATTAAAGACAAGGAAGTTTTCCACCAACAGATAAGTAGAAGGGGCATCCACTGGAATCCTAGTAAGGAGCAAAAAAGAAAGAGAATAAATACAAGAATCAGAAGTACTTTGACCGAAAAGGGAATGGTAACATGGGAAAAATAACATGGATATTTTTTTCTAAATCTAAATAATCAGTCTACTTTTCCAAAATGCAGAGCTGTTATGCATTCAAATAATGAAATAAGCACCAGAGTTTCTGGTTTTTCCACAGACGACACTGGTCTTTGGCAAGTTGTTTTTGTTTTTTTTTAAAACTCGCAAGCGAATAATGAGTCTTAATCAAATGTGGCTGCAATCTCTTAAAATAAGTATTTCTAAATTTAATCAGTATTTAAATGAAATATCTCTATGAAGTCCGAGTTGCCTACGGTATTTCGAATACTGAACACAGCCATTTTCTTTAAGAGCAAATCCAGCAATCATCTGGCTTATTTTTCAGAGCGGCATGCAGCCGCTATCTGTTGGATTAAACACAAAACCAAGCCCCATAAACGATTAAGGAAAAAAACCCACAAAGGCAGGAAGAGAGGCATTAAAGCTCACACCTTAGCCATTTCCTACCAGACAATTAAGATCCAATTCCTCTAATTTTCCTAGCTGTACCATTATTTCGTATGCTAAACTGCTGTATGTTTCAGGTTATGCTCTGCCTCGCCAAAACCATATGCAAATTCTGAGAACCATTTATTTTCTAATTTTTCCTTGAAAAACACACTTATTCCCAGCCTAAAGGTAGCCACCCATTTCCCCACCTTTTGCAAACACCTTCACGCCTCCTCTCCTGTCAAGTCCACAACATACAAACTTCGCCCTTCTCTTCCAACTGTTTTCCTACCGTATGCACCCTGCCCTAATAAAGGTGTCACTTTTACTAGCGCTGGTTTTCAGTGGGACATGCAAAATAAAAACGTTCTGTAAATACGGGGGTGAGGGGGTGTTTACACAAGTACGGGTATTGAGAGCAGGCGCTACAGCGCGGCTGGGTGCTGCGGCTACCACTGAA